GGGGGGCGCGCAGAACTAAGCCAGGCTGGCTGGAGGGGAGGAGCGAGCTCAGCTGCCGCTGAGGCTGGAGGAACCGCTCGGATTTCCCGGCAGGTGGAGGCCCTCGGCGGGACCTCCCGCGCCCTCTCGGGGCGGGCGATGCGACTCAGACCTGCCCAGGGCGCAGAGGCGGCTCCGCCCGTGGCTTTTTCAGGGGTGCGTGCGCAGGAGCTGCGGCTGGAATCTGCCTACTAGGGAGGGGGTGACATGGGGGGAATGGGGACAGGCTAGATGGCTTTCACTCCAAGACCAGCTAGGCGCTGCCTGGTCAGGATAGCCCTTCCAGGCGTGCGGGGCGGCCTTGCCCTTCCCGGGGCTGTACCGTCTAGCCTGGTGTGCGACCTGGATGGCTCGAGTCCCTGGTAGGAGCCGAAGACCTAGGCTGAGCTGGGAAGGTGGGGTGGCGCGTCCCTGGGCTGCGGGTAAGCACTCCCAGGAGAGGGGGTTACGGGGAGCTCGGCAAAGGAGCTCAGAGGATTAGGAGGGCCAGCAAGCAAGGCCTAGACAATGGCGAGCCCAGGAGGAACTCCTCCGGCCCGGCCCCTCGGACCTGCAGTCTTCGGTCCCTTTTCGCCCCCGCAGCGTTCTCTGCGCTCCACAGGAGGGCACACCGCGGCTCCGCCTCTGCGCGCCCGGTTCCGGCGCAGCGCAAGGCCTGGGCACCCAGCCTCCGCCACCCTGCCTTTCTGGAGCCCGCGCATCGGTCCCCGGGGCTAGCTGACCCTGGTCCCCACGGAGACCCCCCAGGACATCCTCACCCGGAGCTGCAGGTCTCGGCCTTTCTTTCTCAGCGTCCAGCTCACATCTCCTTGGCGTTTCCAAATTCTGCCCTCTCTCTCCTAGCAGATTCAAGCCATCCGTCGGCCCTCACCCATTTCTCCCACTTCTCCTCAGCTTGAATTTGACCTCAGTCCCCCAAACAGGATTTGTACCAAAGCTGCTGCACCGAATTTAGATCTCCACACGCCCCGGCGTTTTGTTTTTTAATTGCATTAACGAAGTCTACACTTTGCAGTAGGCTGGGCGATTTTCAGGAAAATGATGTTTCCACCACCCTCCTCTCCATTTGGCTGCAATCAAGGGCTTCTCCGGGCATTTTCAAAGAACAAAGAAGTTGGGCCACACGTAAAATGCAATTCTAGGAACCCCTTAATTGAAAACGAGTGGGAGGATTTAATCGGCTCCATTGCAAGTTTTCTCCAAATGAAAAGGAGTTTGGCTAGTGCCCCCTTCTATTTGGAGAACCTTTTCAGGTTTGAATAAAAAGATCTGCAAACACACACGCGCGACCTTGATAGAGTGTATCCAGTAGTAGACCAGCCCCTGGAAGACTCTCTGTGTTTTGGAAGGTATTACATCCTATCCTCACCTGGAGAAGGTGTGAGATTGTTTAACCCAAATTCACCAGATCCATTATAATAAGATCCCCCAAACAGGACAGTGTGGTGTGTCTGTCATGACTGGCAACCCACACCTACCACCACCTTGCGCATCCTACAAACACAAGCATTGCTGTGTGAGAGCTAATGATAGCTGACACGTATACAGGGCTTGCAACGTACCAACCAAGCTTGCTTTTTCTAAAATCACCTCATGGAAGTTTAGGGCAGTGCCTAGTACACAGCAGACAATATGGAAATGCTTGATCCACTGCATGGCTGATCTCATTTAACTGTCTAGGTGTTAGGTAATATTAGCAGGCCCCACCGCATAGAGAGAGAAACAGACTCAGAACAATTAGGCTAGTTGCCTAGGGTAGTTCCAAACTAGTTTTCCTGGGTGGTTCCTAGAGCAAGTGCCAGACTTGCCATTTAACCCAAGAAATGAGACTTTAAAGCCTGTGCTCTGACCACTCATACAGTCTCTTCATATTCTCTAACCCATCTGGTGTTATATTACGGATTTATGGGTTTTGTCTGTCTCTCTGTAAACTCCATGATGGAAAGGATCTTGACCATCTACGTCCCCCAGGACCTAGAACGGTGTTGGCCACAGCATGCACTCCAAAAGAAATGGGTTGTACTAGTTAACTAATTTCTTTTATGAGAGACTGTCTTAAGCTAAAAGAGGAAAGGAACATGTGGGAAACACAGAGGAGTTGGGAGATGTCTACATGCTGCTAAATCAGGTGTGGAAAGGGATCTTGCAGCAGGCTTCCAAAGGTCGAGGAAGCTGAGGCTCAGAGAGGTTAAGGGTTTTGTTCAGCACTTGGTAAAGCCAGGGCTGGATACAGACAGCCCAGCTGCTGATCCTGCCAACCCTGCTCCAGGACTCCATGGTACTTCCCAGTGAGCATCAGGGCCTAGGGGAAGAGGAATCACAGACGCCTCTCTGCCAGAGCCGGTGGGGGTGGGGGTGGGGAATCTTAAGGCACTTCTAAATTTGATTTTAAAAGATACCTTGGAGAAAAGAAAATGTGGACCTAAAAGTCCATTTCAAGATCTGCCTCCAAACTGTAAAATGCTGCCTGTCACCAGGACATTTGGCTCTGGTCCTCAGAGGAGACTCGCTGGCTTTAATTAACAGAGACTGCCCCCTGTTTGCGACAAGAAAAGTGCAGGACTGTGCCTTAGAACAGCTGGGATCCACCCCGTTTGCCTTATTTGCCAGTGATTCGAAACTGTAAGTCTCCTAGCCTCCTTGACCTTTTTCCAAACCAAATTCCTTTCTTGCTCCTGCCTGCTGTGGCTGCTGCTGGTCCCTGGAATATCACCACAGCCTGTTTCCCAAGGTTTCAAAATATACCTACCTAGAAGAGGGTGGAATTATGGTGGGTTGTTTTATCCTGCAAAGGCAAACATTCATTTTCTCATGCCAGTAAGTTAGTCCCTACCACCTAGTAGGTATGTGATTATTTGGAACATGACCCTGTTTGGAATAAGTGATAAAGAAGGTATTTCTGGGCCAGGGATTTAGCTCAGTGGTTCTGCCACCTGCCTCGCAAGCTCAAGGTCCCGAGTTCGATCCCCAGTACAAAAAAAAAAAAGGTATTTCTTTTAGGGCTTCTAGGTGAGAAAGTAGGCAGGTTATGAAATATATAACTGAAACACCTGGCAAATTCATGGAAGATAAAAAAATCATCGTCAACTATCCCCTCCACTATTGATACAGCAATAGCATACAATAAAACAGGCCCTTACCTTGCCTCCAGGTTTCTTTCCAGAAAATGTTTTGTTCCAGAAATGTAACAGTTGGTGCTGCTGGGCCGCGCCCTGACTGAACTTCCTGACCTCTCCGGAATGTTCTGTTAGCTCCGCCCCTCTGCCTCTGTGGGCCGTGCTGGCCCACTATGCCTTTCAGGAATGTTCTGTAACTCCGCCTAACAGCTTCACCACCCCCCATCCCGGTTCAGTGAGCATGCTCACCTACCCTGTATACCCCTATATAAGGAGGCTTCCGCTTCTAGTCAAGCACTCAGACTTTGGAGTACAAATTCCCCTGATCCTGCTGGTGTAGATTCTCTAGTCTTCAACTTTTGGTAGCTGGGACGCTGAGCTGTAACACCGCTGTGCTTCAAAGCTATGGCGCTTGGCTCTACCACCAAGCTGTTCCACTTTGCCACAACACTATAACTATTCAAATGAATTCATACAAACGTGTCTAAATTAAAATGCTTTTAATGAAAGTGCTTTCTATGAAAAAGATGATGATATTATTTACAACACTGACACTTAATATCTAAAGAAGAATCTCACTTGCTCTAGCCTTAATTATGCCAGACTGCAGTACTCAGCAAGAATGTAACTGTACTCCCCAACAATTAGGGAAGGGAAAGATATAGCAAAAGATGCCTGCTTACCAGTACTACGTTGCAACCAGTGTTCATAAGCAACTCAACAAATTAAAGTATACGTGTTGTCGCCCTCACCTGAAGGAGTTGTTTGTTAATCATCCTCATCTGTTGGCTTTTAGGGTTTCAAAGAGGTCTCTAAGCAACTGTTAGCCTTGAAGAAGAAAAAAAAAGAGATGAAACAGAAGCAAAATGTAGCTAGCACCTTGCCAGCTTCCAGAAACACATTGTCTGAAGAGATAAAGGAAGTCTCACAAAAGTGAATAGATCTCAAGCATGGTTCCCCCAGACTGGCGATCATGTAAGAGATGATTTTTGGCAGTACTTGCAACAAAAAACTTTTATATGTTACTAGTTTTATGTCTGTTACAATGTGTATTAGGAAAAATAATAACATCAAACACATGAATTCACAGACAAGAGGTGTTTAAGGCATAATTAACCTTTTAAATACACTAAAGTCATTTTAGAAAAATACATTATACTATTTATAAATAAAGGAGAGAACCTGAAGTGTCCGGTACTAAATGCTGAAGTTTGAGAGGTAAGCACTTTGGTGTCAAACCAAGTTTTCTCACTATTCTGGGGCGAATACATCCGTGTTGGGGAAGGAGGTTGCCTTGTGCATTGCAGGATGTTTGGAAGCAACCCTGGATTCGACCCACTAGATGCCAGTAGCACCTCTCCCCATTGTGACAACCAAAATTGTGGCAGACGTTGTCAAATGTCTCCTCAGGGGCAAAACAACTGAGAACCCATGAGTTATGCCTATGTTTAAATCCTTGCTCTTTCTCAAAAGAAGTCTATCACTTCAAATAAATTGCTTAATCTCACCAAGCTTTGGTTTCCTCATCTATCAAATGGGGATAAGAATGATATCTTTTCCAAGAACCGTACAGACACTTGATACTTTGTATAAGTATCCAGCACAGTGGATGGAACCTCAGCAGTACTTAGTAAGTACTCAGTGTTTCTTATCTTGGAAACCTGAAGGGGGACAAAGGGCCAGCACCACACTGA